TGTTTGTCTACGTTTTTTATATGTTTATTAAACGTATTATTTCCGTATACTTTCCTTATACTAATTATTTATAGGGCAAGGTCTTGATGCAGTGCTTGAAGAAGTTAATAAAGCACTTAAGTCATTGATTCATCCCATATCTTCACAATGACATTGAGAAATAGCAGCATGCAATTGTACTAAATTTATGAAATTATGTACTAACTTATTTAATGCAATAGGATATTCTGAAGGTGAAATTTATAGGCCTTGTACGTGTTTCGATTTTGCAATTAAATCATGTTGATTTTGAGTTCAAATAAGAAAACTCAATTTATTGATTCTAATAATACTAATAATCAAAATTTTCAAAATATTACCAGTGAATGGATGCTAAGTGAAGAACTAAAAAAATTTAGCGAAATTGCACATATAAAGAGAGCTGAATTTATTAAAGCAGTATTAATTGACAAAAGCCCATTAGAATTTGGTATCCAATTCCTATAACACGTGAAGAAGCAAACCTTCAACAATCTGAAACTTCTTTAACAAAATCTGAAATTCTAACAATCATTATTCTTTAATTTCATCTTTAAATGATTCAGATTAATTACGTTTTCGAAGCTTATCAAGTAAATTTCGTGATAATTTATTAAATATTCTTCAAGAAATTAGAAATATTCTGACTGAAAATAATAACTTTATTGGTGAAAACTAATATATTTATTATCTTTTATATACATGTATATCATTTTTTTTAAATAATAAATAAATTAAGTTGATTTATAATTCTGGCTAAATATATTCATAATTTTTGATTTCTATATTTAGAGATGTATTAGAATATTCTGATCGGCATTTCTTTACCATAAAAGGAAAGATCGTTATATCAATTTTGGTAAAATCCCAGACTGTATTGGGAATTTATGTCTCGGCTAAGCTAATTTTATATTTACATGTGGTTTGTGGATCTCTCATGATTAACAGGAATTAGCTGAAGGCACTTTGAATGATGTATAACATAAAAATTTGTATTGCAACCTTCCCGCAACTCAAATCACGAGATGATTGGCTAATTTAGTCATGTGGATTTTTATTCGAAATCTTATTGGGAGAAGTATGACATTAATATCAATGAAATCTGGCAAAGTTTTGGAACAGAGTTATGGGTTATGACGATTTAGCAAAAGGCGCTGTGCATATGCTGAAATGAAAACTGAAAACTTTATGATTTTTTCTCTGAGAACCGTGACATTAGTGTCACACTACTTTACAAATAAAAATCAAAAATGGCCGTAGCTGGTCCTGAATAGAGATGGGACTTAAAAAGTTTTTTTAACATTTTTAAGTTTTTAAGGCTTAATTAAGTTATTAAGGAAACTTATTAACCTAATTAAATTTATTATTAATATTATATAATAGTAAAATAATTTTATATTTATATTTATTATTACTATATATTTATTGTATTGAAAAATGTTTTTGATTAATGCTTATTCGCACTTTTTTTTATTAATTTTAATCACATGATGTAACATGAAATAAATTACTACTTGTTATATATAAAATTCTTAATTTCTTTAGTTTATTATTATATATTTATAAAAGATTAATACTACGACCAGATTCCTCAAATTTTCTGATATTAAAAATTTCATCAATAGTTGAAATATCTATAAATTCTTCATTATCATCAATTGGTCCATTATCTTATATTTCGCCTAATAAATCATCCATTTCTTTTAAGATTTCCTCAACTGCATATTTACTTCCATATCTTCAGGAAAATTATATTCATTTTCATTATTAATTTGTATACTAGTTTGCAAATCACTTTTATCATGTTCTGATTCAGTTCTTTCTTGTATTATAACTTGAGAATTCTTTTTAATTATTTTTTCATGCTGTTCTTGTTTTAAGTGCTCTTGTTTAAATACCATGAAAATTTTTGCTAATTTATCAGATCTTTTAACAGTTAATCGATTTCGTTTTGCTGTATGAATATTTGATAATACTGACCAAATTCTTTCAGATACTGCAGTATTAGGTGGTATTGCAAAAAGCCGTTGTGCAAATATACTTAATTCAGAATGCATTTCCTCTATACTTTGCCAAAACTTTGTAGGATTATTTGTAAATACTGGTGCCCAAAGAGACTGTTTGTTGAAAATTCCTGTTTTATTTCGATAAGCTAATCATCCTTCCAAAAATGCATTAACATCATTATTTGGATAAAGTTTTTTAAATAGCTGATAGGCCATTTCTTGTATATCTAATGTTGCACCATATGCAAGATAATTAGAATCATTTAATGGATGTAGAATCCATGAAATAATAAATGCAGGATCATAAATTTTTTGCCATTGAGCTTTTAATTTATCATAAAGAAAAGTTTTTATTTCTGATAAAGTTGAAGGAAGTTTTTCAAGAATTCCAGCAAGCCAAGCCCAAGAAGTCATTATTTGAGCTAATGTCATATTATCAGATTCAAATAATTTTGTCATACAATCATATGGACGCATAATTTGATGGAATGTTTCGAGTCGTAACCAAAAATCTGAATTTTCAATTATAGTAATAATTGCTGAATTATTCTTTCTCTTTCCCATCATTAAAAGAGATTTATTTTGAATAGCCATAATCTATTAAATTAAATAAATTAAATATAAATAAATTAAATTAAATTTTTTTTAAATAAATAAATATTTATTATTACATACCTTTAAATAATCTTTCATGATTATTACTTGTGATGATGATGCTGCGAAAGTAGCCCAACGCGTTAAAGTTGGATATTGCATTTTGAAAGTTGGCCTATCAGAAAGTTGACGAAGTTTGTGAATTGCCAAATTAGCTATACGAAAATGACCAATAATTATAAGCATTTGTTTAATCATTGGTTTAAAATATGCAAATTCGATAATATCTTTAGCTAATAAATTTCCTTGATGTGCCATACAAGGTAAACATAAAACACGTCCTTTTATTTCAGGATCCTGTATTAAATAATATATTAATTTATATAATAAAATGTAAATAAAAAAGTAAGATTTAAATTACAATCAAATAAATATAAATAAATACATACAGAATTCATTAACCGTCTAGCTTTAGCATAATTTCCACCACTATCTGTGACAAATCCAACCCATCTTTCAAGTCCAATTTCCATACCAACTTCTTTGTAATCCATAAAGACATTTTCACCTAAATGCTGTTGATTTGATTTATTTTCTATTTTATATAATTCACTTCGCCGCTTTTCATTAATTATTACATAATTCACAATGCTATCACGTGTTCGACTAGTCCACCCATCTCCAGAAAGAGTTATAAAACGTGAATTTGTTATAAATTTTTGAATTTCAATTCCAACATCATCATTCAAATCTTCCATTATATCTGTACTAAGCCATTTTCAAGATGGTAATTTAAAATAGGCATTAAATAAAGAAAATAGTTTCTTAACTTCAACAAATGAAAAAGGTAAATTAGCTGAAACAATCGCACGACCAATTTGTTTATAAATTGCCTTTTTTCTATGTGTTGAAAATGGTTTATCTACATAATCATCTATTGATGGTTGAATTAAATTTGTTTCCAGTGGTTGTTGTAAACGAAATGATGTTATAGGAACATTAATAATTGGTAGAGTATATGTTTGTTGTTGCTTTTTATGGTTTTTATTTGTTTCTTTATTATTTTTTTTAATCTCTTGAAAAGCTTCTTGAATGTTATCACCAGCATTTTTACATTCACAAAGATGGTTAATCATTTGTTCTGAAACACCAAGAATATGTTTTGCGCAATAGTTGCAAATAGCTGTTTTATGCGCACTATTTCTTTTAAGCCCTTCTTCAAAATGATCCCAATTTTTACTTGAAGGTCGACCAAGACGCACCCGTTTATTATTCATTTTTTTTTAAAAAAAAAGGTTTGATGAAAACTGATAAAGAAAGACATCATAAAGAAATTTTTAATGTATATATAAGAAATTCTTACAGGTTTAAATTGGAAAAATTAAACAAAATATCATGAGGAAATCATCTTCATTTAGTATTCGAAATGTTCAAAATTCAAATTAAATTTGTATAAATTAATAAATAAAATTCATAAAATTGAATCCCGATATTCTTTGATACATAAAATTAAAGTTTTTGTTAGATTTAATGTTTAGAATTAATAATCCTACATGATTATTGATTTTACGTCTTATAGTAGCACAAATATTTTTAAATCATATGTTTGCGCATTATTTTTGAACACAACTTTGGTAGATGTTAAAAAACTACAGTTACACAATATTATGCAATAAAAAATTTTAATGCAACGGAGCTAAAAAAATTTTTTGTCTATATCTAATTACGCAGTAAAACTAAAAATTTTGTGTAACGGAATTTTTAAGTTGACTTAATAAATGCGATTTTTGAAAATCTTTTTTAAGGTACCTTATTAAGTTGCTTTATTAAGTCCTAAAACTTAAAAATAATTTTTAAGTCCCATCTCTAGTCCTGAAGGGACCCTTTATTATCAAGAGTTACACGAAATACATGTAGCAATAATACTATTTATTCGTTTAATCTAGCAATAAGAAAATCGACATCATCTGGGGATAGATTTAAGATTGTAGTAGCATTGAAAGACTTTAACCGTTCTATTGCTTCTATACCACCGAATTTATTGATAAATGCTTTACAATAGAAAAGTGTTAAATTTGAGACTCTGACTACTTATTACATAATGAAACATAACAATTTGTTACGTCGATCACTTTCATAAAGAATATTTTCATGCAAAATAGCGAATAAAAAAAATTATAATTATGTAAAATGCCGATTAGTTTCTATCTTTAGTCTATGTATTAAAAATGTGTCCTTCACAGCTTAATTTTCAAAACATATTGGAAAACCCTATATTTAATAAAATCTGGTTTGTTCTGAGCATCATCATTAGAGTTAACGAATTTCTGCGTTTTATAACCGTCATATAGACGTTCTGGTACGACAAAGTAATAAAATATTAAATCATCTGTTACAAATTTGTTATTGTTATATAGAGCTTTCAAACCTCTCATCTTAATGGGATGAACTTTTGCAATAGTCATCTGAAAGCCCTATTTGGAGCAATAATTGAATCGATTGATGGAAAATTCTTTTCCCATGGTTGATAGTACTCATTATCTTTGATTACATCAATATTTGTTTTATTAAAATATAATGTCAATTCTTGCTTAGGTAAATTGACTATTGCATCTGGATCAACCTTATCGTTATTATATTCATCAAATACTTCCTTATATTCATCTAACGGACGAACATCGAACTTTCCTCCATTCCGTAATATCTTGTGAGCAATATACTCAAATGCACTGCCCAAGAGTGAATTGCCTGTGCCTGCTTTAGTTTGTTCAAGAAGTCTTTGTCTTATACTTGTTTCAAGTTTATCAGTCACTTTTTCCCGCACATAGTTAGAAGCAAATCTTAAAATTACCTCCGTATAGGGAGGTTTTCCATTTTGATCCAGTTGAAGTTGACTTAGCTCATTTTCGACCGGGAGGTTCACATCGATATGAACGATCATGTGACTAAATTTGGATCTTTCTATGCAACGTTCGCCGATAAGATCAAAAATATTCTCCTTGCAAGTCTTAATTGCGTCATTAAGCTTTGATTGTTGAGTTCTATCGTTAGCCTTTTCCAAGACATATCGTGGGATTCCTCCCCAATTCGAAATAGTTCCCGAGCTAATTCCAGGGTTACTTTATCATTATAGAGTTTTTTCCTGCAATTTTTGATCTCTTTCCAGTTCCATCTTGGCATATACCGTATTGTTGCTCCGGTATACTTATCAAACTGCGCATAGTGTACCCTCTTGGGAGAACAGATTAGAATTGTTTTAGCATTAACATTCTTAGGTTGCCTGCCATCTACAATATACCAAACGGCCGGATTTCTCAGGTATACTTCTATACCATCACTGTCGCTAATGAGGGCCTTTTCTCCTTCGAAGATAATCGGTCTAGTTTCATTAAAGTTATCATATACAACAATTGCATCTCGTAGTGCAAGTTGGTAAAGTAAATAATATCCGAAATAGGTTTTTCCGATACCCGGATTTCCAGTTATGCGTAGTTTTCTTATTTCATCATCAAAGACGACACTTAGCAGATCGCGATAACATTTACGAATTTTCAGAGCGGAATCTTCTTTTCCCAAAAATCGGGTAGAGTCGGATAGTCTTTGATAGTTATTACTATGAAATGCATTCTTTAAAGCTTGCCAAAATTTATTCAGATCTTCATCATCTATCTTTACGCGTTTGTTAGGAGGCTCTGTATAATAAAATGAATAAATATGAGGCACAAAGAGCGAAATAACAAAAAAAAAATAGCATAAAATATTAAATGACACCACGCAAGCGAGAATGAAAAAATGGCTATCAAAAAAGTCAAGCCATATCGAGTTGATCAAGTTTGTCACGACTCACTTACCAGCAACAGGTTGCTCTACGATAACGCGAATGTGTTTTTTATGATGATAAACAGGGAAGAAAGGCACGATAATAATTAAGTATTCGATATTAGTAAATATGATAATGAAACACTATAAGCCAAGCCAAATATAAAGCGTATATACTTTATACGATTTATGATATAACCTACTTTGCTTGTTCAACTCCTCAACAAATTCTGCAATTATTGAGGCCGGCACCCCAGGAAGATTATATGGAGAACTTAGAAGCTTTTGTTCAGTCAATCGAAGAAACGCACGACCAGAGACCCTATTATTATCAATTTATTTGATGTCATCATTGACAAGATGAAGCTTTTTTTTAATGGACTTTAGAAAAGTAATAACATCATCTGGACTCCATCTTTCGATAACTTCGAATGATGGATTTATAGTAGAAACGGACATGATTATTGGAAAAAAATTTTTTAATTTCGATTCTAAAATCCGTATGATCACCTAATTGGTTATTGACTTTTTTGTAATCAGGATTGTGCATTTAAAATGTCCGATCAGTGACTTTATTATTTTCCTCTTTTCAAAGAAAGGAAAAAAAAAATCCTCATAAAATGGTTCATAATGAAACCCAAAACAATGACTTCGAAACCTTTAAAAGTACTTCCACAAAGTCTAGTAATACTACATACTTTGACCCAAAACAAGCAACAAAATATCTAATTGGAGCGGATGGATTATCAGCAGAAGAAATGATGGATAGCCGTAAAAATGGAGGATTAACATATAATGATTTTTTAATACTACCAGGATATATTGATTTTCCCGCATCAGAAGTATCTTTGGAATCAAGAATAACCAGAAACATCGTGTTAAAGACTCCTTTTATGAGTTCTCCTATGGACACTGTAACTGAAACCGACATGGCTATAAACATGGCTGTAAGTATATTTGAGCGCTTGATTAAGAAAAAGGGATGAAAAGTTTTTAAATGATTTTACTAAAACATGTTTTGTAATATAAAGTTACTTGGTGGGGTTGGAGTTATTCATAGTAATTGTTCACCTGATGAACAAGCTGATATGGTTAGAAAGGTTAAAAAATTTGAAAATGGGTTTATCACAGATCCCGTATGTTTAACGCCAAATCATACAGTTGCCGATGTACGTAGAATCAAAGCTCAATTTGGGTATAGTGGTATTCCTATAACTGGTAAATATTCTCATTTCTTTTATTCTTGAATTTTTTTTCATTATTTTTTATCCGAAATGATGATTTAAAAAATTGTAATAACTTTCGTTCTTCCGTAATGGCTTTAATTAACCTTGTGGAAAAAATTTTTTATCTGATCAACATAATCAATGATCGATCTATTTTTTATAATTAATCACGTGACTAATATCTTTTTCTTATCTTAGCTAATGGGAAGTTATATAGTATACTTTTAGGTATTGTTACGGCAAGAGATATTCAATTTCACGAAGATGATACTACATTATTAAAAGATGTGATGACCACAGATTTGGTGGTTGCACAGGAAGGAGTAACGTTGGATGAAGCAAATCAAATTCTTCGATCAAGTAAACGTGGAAAATTACCCATTGTAAACTCAAGAGGAGAATTAGTATCCTTGTTAGCACGTAGCGACTTATTAAAAAATTTAAATTTCCCATTGGCATCAAAATCACCACATTCAAAGCAATTAATTTGTGCAGCGGCAGTTGGAACAAGATCAGACGACAAATTACGCCTTAGAAAGTTGGTTGATGCCGGTTTAGATATAGTAGTCTTGGATTCTAGTCAAGGAAACAGTTTATTTCAAATTGAAATGATTAAATATATTAAAAAAACTTATGGTGATAATTTAGATATTATTGCTGGTAATGTCGTCACTAGGGAACAAGCAGCTTCTTTAATTGAAGCTGGAGCTGATGCATTAAGAGTTGGTATGGGCAGTGGTAGTATATGCATCACTCAGGAAAGTAAGTATACATTTGATAAACTTCTTTTTTTTCTATTTTGAAGGTAGAGTTTATTCAATTAACTTTTTTTTTTTATCTTTTTCAACTTTTTCAAGTCATGTCCGTTGGAAGGCCACAAGGTTCAGCAGTATATAAAGTAGCACAATTTGCCGATCAATTTGATATACCAGTAATAGCAGATGGGGGTATACAAAACGTAGGACATATAACTAAAGCATTAGCATTAGGTGCATCAGCAGTGATGATGGGTAGTTTATTAGCAGGCACGACTGAATCACCAGGAGAATATTTTTATCATGAAGGGCAACGATTGAAAAAATATAGAGGAATGGGTTCATTAGACGCAATGGAACGTCATGCCACCCAAGGAACCTCCGGTAAATCTAATGATAATAATGCCGCTAAAAGATATTTTAGTGAAAGAGATGTGGTAAAAGTAGCTCAAGGGGTTGCCGGTGCTGTGGTTGATAAAGGTAGCATAAGAAAGTTTGTACCTTACCTTATTTCAGGGCTTCAACACGGTTTACAAGATATTGGTGCCAAGAATTTAAAAAGGTTAAGAGATGATGTAAAAGGCGATAAAATTAGATTTGAGTTAAGAACTGCTTCTGCTCAAATTGAAGGCGGCGTACATGGCTTATACTCGTAAGTTATATATCTAAACTTTTGCAGACGATCTTATTTTGATTTTAATAATATAATTCTTTTCATTCAGATATGAAAAACGTCTATTTTCTTAATATAATATTTTAATTTAAAAAGGCAAACTTGAAAGGTAACATTTATTATTTTATTTTATTTTATTTTATTTTGAATGTTAAGTTTATTATTACTTATTTTTATATATATATATTTTTAAAAAAGGCGCGTTACAAAAATATGAAAATAATAAATAGAGGGAAATCACAGTTTACGGTTATAAATATATATGATAAAGGATTTATGATTATTATGTTTCAAAAACAACATTATCAATATTACCGTTTACATTATTAATATTATTGTGATATGACGACGCAGGTGATTCCAAATTTTCATTCAAATTTTGTTGAATTGATAATATTGCTTCTTTTAATGTCTTTCCAGATCCTAAATTATAGAAACAAATTAAATATCGGGTAAAAAAAAAAATTTCTTTTAACACGTGACAAGATACATACCATCTATTGAATTTAAAAATCTCACAAGTTCTTTACATAACTAAACAAAATAAACGAGTAAATTATTATTAGTTAATCAAATTGTTAATAATTGTATAATTTATTTACCTCGTAATCTTCCGTCTCCATAGCCTTTGATAATAATCTAATAGTATCTTTACTACTATCAGCTGGTTCTAACGTATGAAGAACCAATAAATATGATGTAGCCGTTTTAAGTAATCCAGTAGATAGACACCTCTAATATCATTTAGATTTTAATATTATAAATAAAACATATATTTGAACATTTTAAAAAAGTTGAATTAAATCTGTTGCTACGTTACCTCAAACAAATCTTTTGGACTTCCAACAATAGAAAATAAATAACTCCACAACGCTACTTCGGTTTTACGCGCACATCCAACAATAGCATCAAGTGAGTGTGGAAAATTATTTAAAAATTTCACTACTCTTGGTAAAACAGCTCCTATAATAATAATAATAATATGATGTTAACAATCTTACGAGTGGTAACTGGTACAAATTGTATCATACCTTGAGCGGTCCCAATTGCATGTTCTGCTTCATCTTCCAATACAAGGTGTAGTAACATTTCAACTGCATGTCCAAAATATACCAATTTTTGATAACTTGTTGCAAATGCAACGGATTCTTCTTCAAGTCTAGGAGGAAGATAATGATAAGTCACAAGAGTATACCAAAAATAACATTTACAAAATATTACTTACTCTTTGGTTAACATATACCGTAGTATATGTTGTAAGAACAAATGTGTCTAGTTAAAAATTTATGATTAATGATAAACTTCTCAATAAGTTCGCTAATAAATTAAGTTATACTTACATTTGTCATTAATTTAAATACTGGAAATTCTAATGATTGTCTAATAGATGTTTGTTGTTGAACGCCTACAATAATACCTTTATCAAGCAAAACGGCTAATGACAAAAAAAATTAATTCATTTACTCTGTTATTATATCATCTTAAATATAAATAAATAAATAAATAATTTAATTAAAAAAATAATTAACCTACATAAAGGATAAAATTCCAGTGAAATACGTAAACATTCCTTAGTGGCAGATAATAAAACATCATTCTGCCAATCTCTTGCACTTTCTTCGTTGGACCAAATATTCATCCATATCTATCGGATCAAAGAAATTTTGAACATATGAAAAGATCAGAAAAGCAACCTACAAACAAAGTCTTTTATATTTACTTTAACTCCTTGTCCATCACATGCCCATAAAGAATTCTTTAAACTTCCAATTCCACGAGTAGACATCCAATAGAATTCTATTTTATCGGCGAGAATATGTAAATCATATTGTACCTCGCCTTCATCACTCTAATTAATAAGAATTATGTGAACTTAATAATCGAATTATATATTTAAACCCATTATATAAGAAGCTTACTTTTTTTGGATGTAGCAACACAAGTTTACCGTCAATCAAGAAGATAATGGACGCTGACTGAATAGTTTCAGGAGTGAAAGGTCCTATTAAATAAAATAAATCAAATCATTTATATAATCTAACCTACAAATATGAAAACGGAATAAAGTATTAATTATTTACTATGTAGTTTCGGCTGAAACCATGATATAGATCTAACTCTGGCTGGAGCGTGAATAACACCAACAAATGAAATTTGTTGACATAATTCGAGTAAAACCAAACCACCCTCATCTGTCGCTACAAGATAATGATACATCATATTATCTCCACAATACACCAATAAAGCGTTATCCATTATACTTAAATATAATATTGTACTTGGTATTACAATACTTTGCACCATGTGAATATTATCTAAATTTGTTTCACGAGAATACATTCGTATCTGTGTAATAAAATTTTATTTAAAAAAAAATTATTTAAAATGATATTATATAATTGATATGTACTCACCTCGAATGTACGAGTTCGAACATTCTCGCATGCTGCAACTAAAATTTGCATAAACCACAATAATCCACCCCGAACAGTGAATTCTTGTTCCTATAAAAATAATTCAATAAATTCCAATTTCACTATTGATATGCCAAAATCTTCATTACAAACCTGTTGCTGATTGCCAAAAAGTTTCCATCGACCTGATGAAACATTATAATGCGCTAAACCTCGTCGCCCAGCGATAGCGATATATCTACCATCACTACTTATCGATGCATACTATATATGGAAAAGTCAAATTAAATATACATACATACATATACTTTAAATAATATATTAATTACCTTTATTGGCCAATTGTCACTGATATACATAATTGGTATCTATGTATGTTATAAACTGTCAATTAAAGAATTTTACAATATTTAAATTTAATGCTTATTACATACAGGAATATGCTGCCAAACTATAGTATCAGGGTTAATCGCACTAAGGTCTTCTTGGTCTCCTCCTCGATAAAGTAGCAAACGATCGTCCATATGCAAGAATCCTCTTTTTGCGTTATCCTAAATAAAATAATTGTAAATAACTAAACATAAAAAATAAAAAAAGAGTTTCAAATAAATACTAACTGGGCTATGTATCGTAGTAACAGCAGATTTAGCAAATGGAAGCGTATACAATTGACCTTCTGATCAACATATAAAGAAAAGTTAAGGTTAATAGAAACACACTTAATTAATGTCAATATAGTCATCCTGCCCGAATAATTGTTCTTTAGTTCTATTGGTATGCATCATTCAATTGATTCACCCCAGGTAACAAAATGTTTACTTGAACTTGGAACTATGATATTAAAAAAATTACATTGGTTGGACTCTACTCTATAGAGATGCTCCGGAAATGTTGAATTTTGCATATTCCAATTTACAAAATGTACAAAACATGTTATTTTAAATACATTATTTGCATTACCTATTTCATCTTTAGCGGTATGTAAGAGGAAAAGTTCACAATTTCCTGAACTCCAAAACTAAATAACAAAATATATTTTAATATTAAAAATAAAGCGCTTTACATAATAATTTTCGCTTACAAGATCATTAACGCCATACAAAAAGGAATCTTGGGCAATTGGTCTATTTAAAAGAAAGTAAATCAAGTTAAGTCATGAAGCCATGTTAAAGGATCCTAAATTAATATAAAATAAAAATAATTTACTTTGATATAGACCAATCATCTCTAACAGTTGTCATCAATAATCTACCGTAAACGCTCCATACGGCTAATCCTTCATGTTTCCATCCAACTGCAATTGCGTGCCCATCAGAAGTCCACGCAAGCGTTGTAACAGGTCCTGTAGATAGTATATATGTGTGTTAAGGCTAAAAGATTGATAAAATTTCATCCACATAAATTCTCAACGTTGAAAGATACACATAATTTAGTCGAATATAAAAGGATATTTAAAGCTGACTCTATGTGGTCCCATATTGACAATTTGTGTGAAAGGTTAATACTTCCATTATAATTCTTTGCGAAATATACATAAACCATTCCACTAATAAAAATTTAACATAAAGTCAATCGAGAATAAAAGAAAATAAAATTATAATGTTTTCAAATATGAATATATCTACTTTTCAGTCCCCACAGCCAACAAAGAAAATTTAGCATTAATAGCTATGCAAGTTGCTCGGACATCCTTTGCAGGTTCAAGGTCGCCAATTGAATCACTTGGATGAAAACAAAACCCTGTCCAATAAAGTGGCGGAGCTTTAGGATTATTTTCAACCTAAAAGAATAAGCTCATAAGATAGGGATTACTTAACGTAACATCGATGCTAAAAATCGTCAAAAATTACCGAAGGTCGGTGTTCATTAAATTGTACTGCATAAGCTTTCCCATCAGTAGTTATCCATCCATGAAGATTTATTCGTCGGTCATACACAATAAACGCGATTCCAGCTAAAATAAATAAATTAGAAGATTTACATAAAATCTAAATACAACGGTCTAACTTAAACTATATAATAATAACACCTAATAGATTATTATCTTCAACCTTATTTAACTATAGAAAACGACAGATCAATAGATAAATAGTATCTCCTATACGCTTAACAAACTCTACAAATCCTGACCCTAACCTTTTTTATTTTCCAAAAATTCCAAGCGAGCCAAAATATTTGTCTTTGTACCACTTGGTTCACCTTGCCAAGGTATACATTGAATGGCAGGAGGAGCTTTAGTTGTCACAATTAAAAATTCTTCTATTCCAATCCCTCTATTTATAAATATTTAAAGTTAAATTTTACTATTTGATAAATAAATAAATTACTTTAATTCCAATTCACATACATAAGCTAAACCTACTCACGCCTCCATCCCAGCATCAATTCTAATTGTCATACGGAACTTTAATAAAAATGTTCTTATCCCATTACCCTCCCCGGCTCCAGTAACATAATGATGAGATACTTGACCAAATTGATATTTATAACTTTTATCATCAAAAGCGAGTACCAAATAAGTGAATAAACAATTTTGGGTTGTCTAAAAATTACGGCATCGAAGGTTATTAAAAAATAATGGTCAAAAGAAATAAATAAAAAAAGGATATCATTTCTTACTTGAACCATAATAAGGGTACCATCAGGTTTCCAAAAAACATCGCAATTATCACCGTATTCTTCAACAGATTTCACGGTTCGAGACACCTGTGATACCATAGCCGTAGGCTACAAATGTTTATGATAAAATCATAATTACTATTTGTTCCAAATATATTGAAAGTTAAAAATAAAATAAAAATTGGAGGTTCTTCCAATAGTTGAGAGCATTACCCTCACGCTCCATAATTGTACAGAATTTTTTGTCAGGGTGACAAATAAATTGCCGATTTTATTACGTCTTAACCTTATAATCGTATGCAAAGAATCCATGTTTCCGGGATCTATGGATTCTCCTGAACATGACTGTTCTTCGGTTTCTTTAAGTGAATTAAACTCGCTATAATCTGGAGGAATAACAGTCAACGCTTTCGCGATTCCACTAGCCCAATACATATTATTATTAAACTGAATTAATCGTTTATTGTAATTAAAAAGAATGATTTCGTAGCATGAAACAATATCGTGTTACGAAAAGAATTGACTTTTCATAATAACAGAAAAAAATGTGTTACATCTTGCTGCATGTGATGTTCTATTGAGGAATAAACCAAGAATATCCGAAACATGAAAAGCGTTTTAAAAATGTTTAATTATTTTATTATTTTATTATGCACATAATCTCTACCGATTGAAATACCAAAGATTTTTATCGAAAAAAGTCATATTTTCGAAAATATGAAATTATATAAATACATTGAAATGATAAAGATTCTATATTATCAAACTTTGTTTCCTACGTAATTTATTTAACTTTTCTAGCGTCTAAATGAATCCTCCCCCAAAAATAAATAAAATAAAAAAATTTGACATTAGTATATTACGGGAAAAAAGAGATTTCGCAGAATTGATCAATACTTATCTAATAATAAACATATTTTCCAATAAACTCAGGAATCTTTTTTTTTAAAAAAAAAAAACTTCATCAGATATCCATTCATTTACATCAAAGATTGCAAAAAATCTCAATGAAATTGAAATATTGCAACCTTCAGTGATTGTAATCCTCAAATCGTGTTTATGATTTCATCATTGAAGTTATTATTTATTTATTTTTTTTTTTTTTAAAAAAAAACAGCTTCCAAGATTTCGACATGATGATCATACACTAACTACAATGAAACAAAAACCTTCCGATTGCAAACTATATTTGGAATATCATGAAGAAGGTTTAATTTAAAAACTCCCTTCAATGTCCTTATCATTCTCGACATGTGGTCTTTGGAACAGAGTCAAGTTGTACGGTTCTCTCAATCGAGATCTCGAAAGCAAAGTTTTAAAATAAAAAAATTTTCATCACTTTTATTGATTTTTGACGGTCGATCTATCTCAAATCACATGACGTTTTATATCACATCTACAATATATTTACTCTTTAATTTATTCTAGTATCAATAATAAATACTTGATATACTTAAAAATGATAATATTTGTAAAATTATGTAACAATAGCTTAAATACTTTAAAATAAATTTTTAAATACCTTTAAAAATTTAAAATTACTAATTTCATTTATTCTTCTTTAGTAGAAATTATAAAAAATCTTTAATTATTAAATTTATTTAAATCTTATAAAATCTCTTATTATCAAATACTTTTACAAATATTTAAAAAACAATATAATTTAATTAGAATAAAATAAAAGTAAATTAAAGATTGTTAAAGTAAATTAATTCTTACTTAAATATTTAGATTACATAGGATTCCACAAAATCGAATTTGATTTAAATTTGATTTGATTTTTTGAATCAAATCAAATATTTGACGAATCAAATCAAATCAAATCAACCAAACTGAATCAAACTGAATCAAAATTATTAAATATATATGTGGTAAAGTATTTATTTATTAAAAAAACATTTTCATAATATAAATTAAAAAAAATCCCAAAATGGATACATAAAATAGAAAATAAAGTAAATGCTATTTAGCTTTTGTCAAAGGCATATGCCTTCTCCAACCAAACCAACTGGTTGTCTCATTGCATTTAATTCAAAATAATTAAATATTTATAATAAATTCACATTATAAAAATTTTTTTAAATAAATTTTTTTATTATTATTTTTATTTTTATTTTTATATTTAAAAACATTTACATAATTGGAATTTTATATTTTTTTTTTCAAAAAGAAAAAGCACTATTATTCTGATACTCTTTTTTATTATTATTAACCATTATTATTTCTCAAATTATACAAAAAATTTATTAATAAAAAAAATTAAAACATTTTATCAGACTTTAGCTAACTTTTAAGACATATTGTCACATAAATTGTATCACTTTCAATTCTATTATGTTCTGGTGTAATTAAATTGCTACTTGACTAAATAATCATTTTACAGGTACACTAGTAAATGGTATTGATAAATAATCACATGCTATCATAAATAATGTGGAATAATTAATTTCGTAATTTCACCATTTTAATACATTTATAGTTTTTAGTTCTGGTGAACTATCAAGATAATTAAATAATTTGTCATATTTATTATTATTTTGAAAGTGTTCAGTAACAGGAAATAAAGAATCTTTATCATTGCTATCCTCGTTATCATTAAAATAGCAGATATCGAAGTTGAAAAATAAATAGAATAATACTCATCAATTTACCTACTAATTTAATTTTAATAATAAAATTTTTTTAAAATTTAAAATTTATCCAATTTTTATAGTAAAAATTAATTTACTTACAAAATTTTTGCTTTTCTATAAAATATATTATCATCATTTTCTATTTAGCTTCAAAAATATTCAAGCTTTCATTGTGGATTAATAATTGTAGAAATATAATATACTAATTCAGAAGTTTTATTATAATATTTACTAAGCTTATTCTATGCTACCCTTGCAGCTACAACTAAAAATTTTGAAGATTTTCTATCCTTTATTATTTTTTAGTATAGTTCATTAAATGATTTTATATAGAATAAATTAAACTTATGATAGGATAAGTCGATATATACATTTCAGTTGAAATTCTTGTGAATTGCTTTAAAAAAATTACAATCTTCTCAAAAGACTTCTAATCTAATTAAGTCAAGCTAATATCTCTGATGAATAAAAATTCATCAGTTAAAACAATTTTATCAAAAACTTAATTATATAAAATCTTTAATTAATTATATATAAATCTTTAATAATTTAAATTTTAACTAAAATACTAACCACTTTAAATCTAAAGCATATTTAATCATTTTATAAATAGAATTCCAACAAGTTAAAATATTTAAAATTGAATACATATTTTTAATATTATTAAGATTTGAAATTTTTTTGAATTTTTGTTATCATTTGGAAGAAGAATAACATTTAATAATAATATTTCTGATTTGATCTATTTTACATTTAAGTTCTTTTAAAGTAAGGATGCTATTGGTTCAATTCAGTTCAGTTCAATTCAAAAACTGTCAGTTTAGTCTTTGAGTTAAGCTGACCTCCAGTTAGTTATTTGAAATTAAAACTGCAGTTGTAACTATAGTTCTAACTTCAGTTAATTACGTGTTTGAATTTTTATTAGTTACACTAGTAAAATGATAACAAATAGAAGATCAATCGGGTCAAATCTGGGTTGCCAGATTTGACCTGATTAGTCCCCTATTTTTTGTTTTTTAGATCAGGTGATCCTGATTGATGACAAATAATGATGCAAATAGGATACAATATGGTTCCAATCGGGGTGTTATAAAGATATCAATAGGGTTATTCTTATTGATATCAATTTATTAACATCCAGTTCCTAATCAAGTTATTTCTAAATCATCAATAGGAATATTCCTATTGTTACCTATTATACAAATAGCATATCCCGATTGGTAACATTTTATCAAATTTTTATAATACAGGTAATTTTATAATTGTTTATTTTATACAAGTAAGTAATCCCGATTAATTACAATAAAAAGAATTTTATTATTAATATGATTTACATTAATATAATACTTTAATTATAAGAAAAATACATTTATAAATAATAAGCTTCCATTGTTACAAATTTATTAAATTTAATTATTTGCTATATTTGATAAGAAAAAAATCACTCCTATTAAAGAAAGAAAAAAATTAGTAAAAACCTGAAAAAATATCACCAAAAGAGTTTAATAAGCAAGAAAAATCTACCCCTATAAAAAGAAGAAAATAATTAGTAAAATCTAAAAATACTACCATCCTGATTTGTAAACTTATCTTAACCAATAGCAATAAAGTTCACTTTTACTAAAAAAGAAAAAAAAATAGTAAAAATCCAAAAAACAACAATAAAAAAGTCCTGATTTGTAGCATGCCTTAGCCAATAAGCAAGAAAAATCCACTCCTAATAAAAAAAAAATTAGTAAAAATCTGAAAAAACTACCATCCTGATTTGTAGACTTACCTTAACCAATAGCAAAAAGTCTAATTCTACTAAAAAAAGAAAAAAATTGGTAAAAATTCCTAAAATCACTATTTCGATTTATAGACTTATCTTTACCAATAACAAAAAAATCAACTTCTATTAAAAAAGAAAATAAAATAGTAAAAATCCAAAAATCAATAAAAGAGTCCTGATTTATAACATACCTTAGCTAATAAGCAAGAAAAATCCACTCCTAATAAAAAAAATTATAGTAAAAATCTAAAAAAACTACCATTCTGATTTGTAGACTTACCTTATTTATTTTAACCAATACAGTCAGAAGTATTTCCAATTTTGAAGATCGATTTTAGAATATTCTGTCGATCATACCGATTATTTACATAGCAAATATGTAAAACTTTGATGATTTATAAAATTTTTTTTTTTTTTAATAAAACTAACAATTGGAATATATATTTTTAAGTACATAGTTTCAGAATCCATGCAGATCTACAAGGCCTTGCAAAGCAGATTTCTCTTAAATTAAATTTTAAAATTTTGCTTTTTTATATTATAAATTTGCTAATTCTATAATTAAATAATGAATGATTCAAAATTAAATGCTAAAATTTTACCTTGTTTATTTAAATCTCTTGCTAGTAAAATATCTAGAAAGCCAATTAGTAGAATGTGAAACTAAAGAAAACAAAGATGGCGACATTCATCAGCTGATGCAGTAGTAATAAGAATAACAGAAATAGCTAAGTATTTTTTTGAATTACCCTTATTGCTTAATTCTTTAGAAAATTATTCTTTATGTAAAAAGCATTATAATCAAGTTGTTGTTAAAAATGTTTTTATTAAACAATTAAAAGCAAACAATTTAATTTTTTTAGATTCAAAAGAAGAATTTCAAACTTTTGATTTATTTAAAAAAAATCTGTCGATTTTGGAGTTCAAGTTTCTTTGTTAGATCCAACATATAAAAATCTTTTAGAAAGGATTAATGAGTTAAAAAATCAAGTCCAAATTCAAAAAAATCTTTTAAAAAGAATTGATGAATT